CATTTGAAAAAATTTAGGGGATAGCACCCCCACTTAGGGGGTTGAAGATTTTGGTATGCTTTTTGAGCCAAAAGTTGTCCCCCTCAGAAACAAATTTGACCTGTTTTTGGATTTTGCCGAAAAGTTCTTTACTACCCTGTAATGCCTTGCGGTACGTTTTCGATGGGCTACCCTGTATATCTGAGCTGGCACGTGCTGGGATGCACAAAATGATGCACGCCAACGCCCACATGAGTATGCACTTTGCGGATTCAGAAAAAAAATAGAGTGCCACTCCTAGACATCGTATTTTACATTATATAAACAAATTTACACGCGCGTTTTATAAATTATAGTTACTAACTTTTTTTGCGCCTTCAGCTTCTCGTCTCCATAATTATTAAGAACTAAAGAAGAAAAATATATATTAAAGTTAATTAAATTAGCGAAATTGCAACTGATTCAAGTAAAATACGATAATAATATTCAAAGCAGTGATAACTAAGCCTTTACCGATGTTTTGATACAATATTTATATTTTACTTTATTCTACAGGGTCCAACTCACCAATCTTCAAACCACACTTCAATTGCTCGCCAATCACACGAAGATTATTGTTTTTAAATTCCTGCAGAGCGCCTCAAATACAACATGCCTCGTAAGAATGGCTCCAGCATATCCATTTTGTACTATTTAAGAATTAATTTTTTTGTTTGAACACTTAAAGACATGGTTAATAACACCCTTGAATATTATTATCCTCTTTTCCTTCAATAAAAAAAAAATGTAAAAATTCTTTATTTTAGTATTTGACAGTGCTGACAGTCATTTCAAGAAGAAGAGACGAACTTTTGTCCTAAATGGTATAATTATCGAAATACGGAGTGTTTAAATTATATAGACAATCAATAAAGATTCAAGTTATTTATATATTTATTGCAAAAAGTTTATATTTATTATATGCTAGTCACGAAGATCAATTTCTAAATTGCCTTCGAAGCTCTAAGCCGAAATCCGTATTCATATCTAAATTAAAGAATTGGAACTTACGAATTGGCACGAAACAGTCCGATATCGATAAATGACTGTCGATTCTAGTCACGTCTCTCCTTTATACGCAATATTTATGTTTATATTGAGCATATAAGCAGTCAAGTAGAGTCATCTAATCAATGTGGTGAATAAACTGTAAAAATGTCCTCATTGTTGAGTGACCCTTCCTCATTTTATGGTTGTCGTGCGTTGTCTTTGACTATTCCCATCGTCCTCATTAGGTCATCCATCTTGCGGCGTGGTGTATGGCATGTAGTGCTGGACAAATGTTCGTTAATCCGGTTATTTTGATGAAAATTATGTTTAAATGCACTGGTTTGATTACAATAATTAAAAACAATTATTTATTGAGTCTCGATTAATATTTGGTTAAATAAACAGATAGTTAAATTGTTACCTGTACTTACTTACGCATCTGTAACGTATAAAATAGGTTATGGCAATCTATTCGGCCGATTAGTTAACCAATTATTTTAATCGAGACTTATAATATTGTTTCTAAAACATATCTGTGTTGAAGCCACTATGGCAACTTAGTAGTTTATGACTTTAATACAATGATATTTAAATTCAAATTGAAGGAGAATATAAACCAAGTTTGAGTAAAAAATTACTCAATAAAAGTCAACTCTAAATTTGGTTTTACATACTTAGAATAGAGTCAAAAGTCACTCATTTAATAGTTAGTAGAAACTCAGATTTGAGTAAAATTCACTCACTTTTCTTGCAATAGTTTTACTCATAAAATTTTAGTTGTTAAATATGAAACATGAAATATTAATGACGGTTATAGCCGTCATTTACACTAAATGTACCACTACTATGACATCCGGGCTAATTTTTCGAAAAATACCTTTGGTATTACGACTACTTACCAAGTCTAAGATTACAATACTATTCTTCATTGGCAACCTACTTTAAAACGTGTTTAAAGTTATTTATGCAAGCGAGAAATTCAATAAAATCGTACGGGGGGTGGTGGTGGGGGAAGCAGAGAGCGCGGCCGCTTGGCCTGCTCGAAATTGAATCGACTAACTACGTAACTAATTGATCAATCGATCTGTTTTTTTTAAAGAAGCGTCTTTCCAAGAACTTTTAAAACCTGCTTTAAAAAATTTGATTTGATTGAATATTCACTAAGTTATTCTAATTGTTTATAAGTAGAAAAATTTGACCAATTTTTAAACAAGCGCCAGAGCTCTCCTAATTGACGGATTCGAATTTTAAAAAAAAAGTTTGAAAGCTTGAAAGTCCTTCTATATGTGATTAAATTTTTAAGTATCTAAGAGCCTTGGTTTTTGCTGTGCAAAATTTGCAATGCAAAATCTATCGAACCGATTTTGATGAAATTTGGTGTGATAATTCTACATAACATGAAGTTTTCTTGAGCCAAGTATAAAGGTTCTATACCCAATTTAAATACCCCAAAAAAAAATCCCTAAATCGGTCACCCAAACCAAAACAGATACCGCCTAGTCTATATGCATTTAACTCTTCATCAGCCAATATCTCGGAAATGGTTGGTCTGAGGGATTTCGACCTAGTATGCCATTTTCCTTAAAATTGATAGGGGAATAAACGCACTAATACGAAACGTCGATGTATAGGGCAGTAAAAAAGTTAGGGGCAGTTTAATTCAAGCGTGATGTCTTCTACAGCCATCATCATTAGTAATAACATATTTAAATTTAGCATCCTAAAACCCCACGTATCTCAAATTTTATGTCAACTGAAATCTGAAAAAGTAAAACGTGTAGAACAAAAGCACAAAAATAAAAACCTTGATGTTCTGTTTATTCATTGTTACTATTTAAATTTACTCAAATAAAATAATAACTAAAAAAAACGTTTGTAAAACATGCATTTGCTGTTATCCTAACCCCACATTTTAATAATTATTTTCACATACTTATAAAATAAAGGTAAACAATTTCATATGTAGGACTAAGCAAGTACATGTTATAAGAATATTTACATGTGGAGTTATATATAAAAAAGTTAGTATTTTCGTAGATTTCAGTACCTAAAACCTTGATGGTTTGATCGTTTTTTGCACCTGTTTATTCGTTTTACTGCGGCGTTTTTGAAAATACCCAGATGGCATGACATAACATTCCTATTATTTGATAAGCTTTAGTTATTTCAGTTATTAAATGTTTGAAATTGTTTGTCTTTGTGGAAAACACTATTTAAATAATATGGAACTCTTCTAAGTATTTGTAGACCCACGTATATAGGAAAAAAAGGTCTTATTTTGACATCAAAAACATGCCCCTAAATTCTTTGCACTGAAATTTGAATCATCCTGTGTATTTTATCGGTATTTTTATTTTTCATTTTTTTTTTAAGAAATATTAGTTTTTGCTTCAACTCTTGAATAATTTTTTCTTGTTTTGATCATCAAATAAATACACATTAAATGTCAAAACTTCTACAAAGAAATTAAATATTTCAAAGGATAAAAATAAATAAATATATTTTCTAGTTGGGTACGATTATTGTTGATTAATAACATGTTATTTTACTGAATACTACTTTTATTAATAAACTTGTACACTTAACAATAAATAAAGTTTTGAACTACTAGATACAACAACATTTAACAATTATTTAGATTTTTCATTACAGCTGATTTTATCACAAGCAGCGTTACATAGGTCAATCGAGGCGATTCCTTTTTTCTCGCTGATTTCCTCTGTAACAGTTTTAAGAGTAGGCACAACTTCTTCTGTTGCGGATAGAATGTCATGCCAAGCATAATCAACATCGCTCTTCTCCGTAAGCCTGCTGCAGACAGCGAATCGAATGCAGTACTTGTGTTGGAAATGTCCAGCTATAATGAAAATATTTTTGCGCTCCTGGATCTTTTCAAGAAGATCTTGAGAAAGACTGTCGTCACCTTTAAGCCTGAAACAGACCAGACCCATGCTACAAGTGCAAAGCTCGAACCTCTTGTCCTTTTTCACCAAACTTTCGAAGTATTCTGCTAGGGCTATTTGGCCCCTGACGTGCTTCTGTATACCCTCGACTCCATAGATCCTCAAAACGAACCAGAGCTTCAAAGCCCTAAACCTCCTTCCCAAAGAAATCTGCCAGTGACGGTACTCTGGAGCCAAACCCTTGTGGTTGTCCTTGAGGTAGATCCTCTCCACGTTGAAAGCTTCTACTAGGTACCTCGCGTCTTTAACCCACATGGCAGAGCAGTCAAAGTTGACCAACATCCACTTATGCGGATTGAAGTTGAAGGAATCTGAATATTCCACTCCGCTCATCAAATAACGATACTCCGGACAAGCAAAAGCGGTACCAGCGTAAGCAGCGTCGACGTGAAGCCAGATCTGTTCCCTGTTACAAAGTGGCCCCAGCTCAGCTAACTCGTCAAAAGCACAAGTAGGGGTGGTTCCTAAACAAGCAACTACGTAGCAAGGTATAAGTCCTTGGGCCTTGTCCTTTTCTATGGCTTCCAATAGGACGGAAGCTGTGAGCCTTCCGTCTTTGTCTGCTGGGAGCAAGCGCATAGGCATGGAACCAAGAAGGCCGGCTTTTTCTACTGAAGAGTTGGATTGATCGGATGAGTAAGCTACTAGTTTGCCTTTAATGTCCGTTTCTTTTAGTTCTGGGTTGATCTGGCGCAGTTCTTTCACTTTTCTCTCCTTTGCCGCTAGGAGGCAGACGAAAGTTACTTCGCTGGCAGAGCCCTGCAATATTCAAACTGTAAGATGTCTTGAAAGAAGGTTGGCGGAAGAAAAATGGTAATACATGGTTAATATATTATATTGATTTCTTTAAAAGTTGGACATTTAAAAACGAATGTTTCGGAATATAAGGAAGACATTTCTAATGACTTAGAACTTCTATTTCTTTATGTGAGACTGACAGAAGAGCATAAACAAGGATTTCTTGGGGATAGACTCATAGGATGTACTGGGATGTAGAAGAATGTCTGTGAAACCTTTATTCGATCTTACCACAGCTTTAAAAGTTGTTTTTCCCCAGATATATGAGACTGAGGTAAGAAAATTTTATTTCGAGTTAAATGTTACCCAGTATACAATACACCAAAAACAATACAGTTTAAAAATGATTGGTCATCACTTATTCAGCAAGAAGAAATAGAAACTCTAAAAACTGATTGCTAAGAATACATTCATGATCAAAAAATGTTAGTCTTTAGGGAAATATTGAACAAAAAAATGTTAATAGAAGAGTAAAAATCATAGTTACTAATGTTACTTCAGCACTATCTTGATGTTTTTGTTTTAGATACTTGTTTTTCTCAATTTTTATCTTCGGTTTTTTATAAATAGCTATTTTGCTAGGTCTTTGTAACATTGATATTTCTTCATGACTAACAAATTTTCACTCATTATTTCTAAATAGTCGATAAAACTGTTTTTCGTAACGTAATTTGTATATCAATTTTTCTCCTAAAAAGCTCTCCATCGAAATTATAAAAGTACTTTTTATTATAAAATTGTCTAAGACTTTAAAAGTTTTGATCAAACAATGAGAATATCCACATGCAAAAAAGTTAAATTGAAATTTATTCACAGCCCCATTCCTTTCAGATGCACTTGATAAAATTTGGAATTTATTTTTGGATCTATTCAAACTGCTCAAAAACCTTCAGTTCTTTCGTTGTAAACAATTTTTATAATCAAATATGTTAATTTTTATTCTATAATTTTTTTTCGTTGATGTCTTAGTTTTCGACCAAAGTTAGGGACAAAAAGATGTTACTTTCGCAAACTCGATTTTTCAAAAAGACAGCTATATAAAAACTACACACGTATAGTTACAACATGATCCGGAGAAGAATTTCCTAGGTTCTCAAACAGGGAGGTAGTCTTTTTGATAAAAAAAAATGCCCTAGATATACAGGGTGTTCCTAAATAAGTGTCGCAACGGAAAAGTGTAAATTCCTCTTGATTAGAGAAACATAGTTTTCCTCTTCCATTTTTCTCTCCGGGCTTTCGTTTTCGAGATACACGGTGTCAAAACTTTTTTTCAGATTTTTGCCAATACCTATCTTAGGAACCGTTTGAACTACAGGACTGAGCTTTTGTACAACATTATTAATAGCTAGTTGTTGCAAATGTTGTTAAATTTCGTTAAAATTGTTAATTATTACTATCTATCGTTTGATTACAAAAGATTTTCGAAACGTTAGCAAAATGTTTGTTTTTGTTCATAAAAAGTCATTTTTCTTGAACACGGTTGACTTTAGAGCAATGAACCAAGAGAACTCTTTTTGTGTAAAATTCATTGGCGCTTCAGAATTTGCTGTCAAATGCCAATTTTTCCAGTGGCGTAAAAGTTAGGGGGGAAAACCCTTACGATACGTTAAAATCTCCACCACTGGCACGTTCAATAAATTCGAGAAGGATGTGAAAAAGTAGCTATTAATAGTGGTAATGCGTGTACAAAAACTCAGTCCTGTAGTTCAAACGGTTCCTAAGATATTGGCAAAAAATTTAAAAAAATGAAAGTTTTGACACCGTGTATCTCGAAAACGAAAGCCCGAAGAGAAAAATGGAAGAGGAAAAGAATGTTTCTTTTTTCAAGAGGAATTTAGAGTTTTCCGTTGCGACACTTATTTAGGAACACCCTGTATGAATACAGTTTAGACAAATACACCAGTAGAAGTAGAGTTTGAACGTAAACAAATTATTAGGAGAAATTTTATTACACTTTATGACGGTGAAGGGTGTGTAAAATGATAAAATTAAAAAACTAACTCGAAAGAAGTGACACCAAGTTGGCAAATTGTAAATAAGTGGCAAAATTACGTGTTTTTTACTATTACTTTTTTTATGCCCATGAAAATCTAGACAACCTGTCGTAAAAGAGGCGTAGCTGAGTTATTTTTAATTACCGAAAAAATAAGCTCTGTTTAATGCGAAAAGAGCGAATTCCCGAGCAGTTTTTGCTTGACTTTGGGACAATTTATTCATATAGCTGTTTTGCTCATCCTACTTTGTTAGTTGCAAAGGGCAACTTAACTTCAGCTTTTTAATTTTTTTTCATCGATACGTTTCTTTGGATCAATTTGAACCTATATCTACGATATTAACTTCTAAAATTAACGCCTAGAGCAACAATTGCACGGTCAATCGAATCGTCCTTTGGCACACATGTTGATCATTGGATTGGCCGTCTTTTCCATAAATTTTATCAACATCCATTGCTTTTTATAATAATGATGGTGAAATATATATGACTTTAGATACTGTAAATTGTAGGTAATTTAATTGTCCACAACATAAAATAACAAATAAGTCGTCTAGATTTTCATGGAGAGTAAAAAGACGTGAAAAAACACGTAATTTTGCCACTTATTTCCAGTTTATCAACTTAGTGTTACTCCTTTTGAGTTAGTTTTTCATATTATCGATATTATCATTCATCAAACCCTTCCCCGGCATAAAGTGCAATATTAATGTCTACTAATATATTTTTTTAATTTTAAGGGTTTGTGATCTAATTCGCCTGGACTAAAAGCGTTCCCTTGGACTGCATCTTTGTACTTCTTACCTGTATGACGCCACCGCCAGGCCCCTCCGAGCAGTTAAGGAATTCTTCGGGCAGGTGCAGGAGCTTTCCCAGCCAGTTCATCATCGCCACCTCCAGCTCGGTGTACGCTGGACTGGCCACCTACGAGCAAGGTCAAGACTATTAGAAAGTGAAATGAAACCTGCGTGTCTAACACGGCATACGCCGTGGAATTTGTCGCGGTTGGTCTGTTACGTAAAGCGTACCGATTAGCTCTTTTTTTATGGAAACACACAATTGAATAATGATAAGGGAAAAAAGTAATTGATATAATAAAGATAATGATATAAGAAGTTCTCCCGGCAAGTTGCGCGTCGCAGAGGTGGATTGTGATACCGACTTGAGCAAGCAGACGAATTTTAAAATCGACCGTTTTGCGAAACTTCTAGTTATCTGAAGGATTGGGCAAGGTTTGTTTGATTTGGAAACGGTATTTGAACACTGAAGTCTCTACGGTTTATAGGGCTCATGAGCACAAAGAATTAGCTACACAATTATAGTATATCGCCCCTCTCCCGCACAAATATCAAAAGAAAGCTAAAATTTCTTCCATTGTAAGCATATAGGAGCTAGCTGTGCAAACAAGTAGAACACTAGAATATTATTCTGTCAAATTATGCTGTCAGTTGTCAAATTTAACATTTAATAAATGTACATAGAATAATTTTAATATATACACAATCGTCACTATTGTGAAACCAATTTTAATATGAGCTACAAGAACGCTAATCACGTCTATAATTCTTTAATGCGTTTGAAAAGTTTATGACGAGAGAAAGCCTTAAAGATGTGACAATATTAGCAAGAGTATTACAGCTTAAAATTTACATACATATATTATATAAAATTTGTTGTCAAATAGCAAAAATGATCTATTATTACTGTTAGTAATAAAACAAAATCAAACTCAAAACTGTTAAAACTTATTAGACCAGGGTCGATAATTTTTTAAACCAAAAAAAATTATAGTAGGATGAAACCCATTGGAAAAGAAAGAGAATATAACAGAAATGAAAGGAAAAATAATTTACGGGCGATCTGAGGTCGGGAAGGGGAAGGGGGTGAGTTTTTAAGGGTAAAAAACGGTTTCCCTTGATTTCCGGAAAAACTACAAGTCTTATGGAAAAAAGTTAAATGGCAAAGTTGTAGGTAATAAAAAGATCTACAACTTTTGTATTTACACTTTTTTCACATAACCTCAAAATTTATGTGAAAAATTCAAATAACCAAGTTTTTGGTTTTTTATTTTTATCTTTTACAAACAAATTTTTTTTTCACGAAATTTGGTGAAAACTTACCTATTTATGTCCCAAACACGCTGTAATTTTTTTGATTTGAAATATTTATTTTTTCACCTTATTTTTACTTAATATCGAAAAAGCACCCTAATTTTCAATCGAAAATTCTCACGTCAAAATATCTGCTTTTTTAAAAACGTCGGTGGGCTTTTTCTTCGTTGAAATCTCTACTTTCTGATGGTGTAAAAAAAAATATACATTACTATGGTAAGTTTTCTCAGGAAATGCAAAGAAACGAAAGAAGATTCTACAACTTTCTCAAAATATTGTAGATGTCTTATTAAATATTAACTTTATTAACTTATTTGGTTGTTAATTATAATAGTATATTTCGACTTGTAATTTTTTTGTTTATCAATGTAACATGGAATCTTACGTTTTTCGAGTAATTAAAGTGTAAATTTTAATAAATAGCTCAAAATTGTACATAATGATTAGAAAAAAATTTTCGGATTCTAGTTCGTTTCTTTGCATTTCCTGAGAAAACTTACCATAGTAATGTATATATTTTTTTACACCATCAGAAAGTAGAGATTTCAACGAAGAAAAAGCCCACCGACGTTTTTAAAAAAGCAGATATTTTGACGTGAGAATTTTCGATTGAAAATTAGGGTGCTTTTTCGATATTAAGTAAAAATAAGGTGAAAAAATAAATATTTCAAATCAAAAAAATTACAGCGTGTTTGGGACATAAATAGGTAAGTTTTCACCAAATTTCGTGAAAAATTTTTTTTTGTAAAAGAAAAATAAAAAACCAAAAACTTGGTTATTTGAATTTTTCACATAAATTTTGAGGTTATGTGAAAAAAGTGTAAATACAAAAGTTGTAGATCTTTTTATTACCTACAGCTTTGCCATTTAACTTTTTCCCATAAGACTTGTAGTTTTTCCGGAAATCAAGATAAACCGTTTTTTACCCTTAAAAACTCACCCCCTTCTCCTTCCCGACATCAGATCGCGCGTGAATTATTTTTCCTTTCATTTCTGTTATATTCTCTTCCTTTTCCAATTGGTTTCATCCTACTATAATTTTTTTTCACTTTTTACCATTTTTGAAGGCTTAAGCACTGGTCTATATTGGGAACCCCTGGAATCGTTCACGCGTTACATACTGCACGAAAAGAGGTCTAGTTACTAGTTAAATTTTAGATAATTATTATTTACACTTTCGTTTTCATAACGGAAACGTATTTTTTTGTGAACATTTTTAGTGAACAAATGTTTAAGTGTAGTCATTTGTTTTTCCAGTTGCTTACTTTTAACTGTTTTCTTTTTGTGTGTCTGTAGTGTATATGTATTAAAAAGTGCAAATAAATATACTAAATAGCAAATAATTATGGCCATTCAGGCAACGCATGGTTCCAAAACAGTTTTCTTCGTACCATTTATTGTTCTATTTGAAAAAAATATTTCTGCAAATAGAGTTTTCCTCTCCAGTTTGAATACACACTGAAGAAAAGGATACAAGGTGTAAAGCAAAGGTCACGATCGAGCTTGACCAAACAAGTTCTTCGAATTTGCTTTCGCATGAGGCCGCATGTTTTCAATTATGTAACGTCAATTAGTATTTAAATTGTATTTTATAATATGACCAGATGTGTTGGCATTGACGTTTTCGAGATCTACAGCAGGCTAACGGTTAGATATTTGGGAACAAGTTATTAACGCTAGATTAAATTACGTAATAATTTACATATATTCAAAGATGTTACCCAGATATCGAATATCTGTGTCAAAGAACTCGTTTTCCTGCTTCCTTAAACTTTTTTTTGCGGTTTATTCGGTAGATATGCCTTGGACTATGTTATAAAAATTTATCGTTTTAACATTTCTATTAAAAATATACAGGGTGCTCCAATGACAATTGCACACTTTTAAGGACACACTTTATTATTATTATTTTTTTTATTATTAAACCTACCCAACTTAGACCAACGCATCCAAATCCTGCGCTCATCATCTCGCCAATCACAGCAGGAAAAGACTGTGCTGTGGGGTAATAAGCGTGGAAGTTTGGCGAATGCCAGTGTGTAAGTCCGGGCATGATTATCCTGTCGACGTCCTGGAGGACTTCCTGCCAGGATTCTCCGGACTGTGGAGCTTCTTTTGGGAGGAGATCGCCAAGGTAGCCCGGCTGTACCGATGATAACACAGGCCTGAAACAAAAGTTGCATTTTTTTTATTTATCGTTTATTAATACGGTGGTCAAAATATTGTGTGTGTCACATACTGAAAAGTAGGAATACCGTTTTAGTTATTTTAAATATTTCCAACGTGTCGAAATTAAAATAAAACAAAAAATAATTTACGTGGTAGATGCAGAAAAGTGTTTTTCGAAATGTTTTTTTTTTAATTTGCTTAATTCATGTTCAAATTAAACTAATTCAAAAAATGTTCTAAAGTGGTTGTGTTTTATAAATATGTATAATTGCGTTGTATCAATATTTATTAATCCATTTACAAATAGACGCATGAAAATTATATCCTACAGATGCAGAAATAGTAAAGATCTTTCTATCGTTGTTATTTTTACGTGTTGATCTTTGTCAAAGGTGATGATAGAACAACAAGAATTACAAATATTTTTTTGAAAGATTACATTCCTTGATTTCAATATACCCATCGTGTATGAGTTTTTCATTAACTACAATTTTAATTTTTAGTTTTTCGTAATATTGTCGGATAAAAATCTTGCTGTTATGTTAAATATCTTTTATCTGCACCCACTATAGTGAATAGACTATTAATACATTGTTTTTAAGGGGGTAAGTGGATTTTACCGTAGAAGTAGAGGTTGCTATGGACAACGCAAAGTAAGTGAGGTAATTTACCTCCCTAGGGAAAAAAGCGATTTCGAGTTATAAATAATGCATATTTTATGAAGAAATATTTGACGAACATTGAATTTTTATTAGTTCAGGAATGAGGTCGTCTCGAAGAAAATCCAAATATCTTGCACCAGTTAGGATGACGTCAAAGAAATAGGGACCCAGAATTCTTCCGTCGACTATGCCGCACCACACATTTACTTTCTGGGGACATCCATCGGAGATTCTCGGTAGCCTAATAACGGCAGTTTAATACATCTGTTTATTGAAATAGGTTGACCCTAATACACCATTCAATATACATGCATCTGACTAAGCCTAAAACACATTAACTACCTTATACCCATAACTTACACTCACACACACACACACACACACACACACACACACATATATATATATATA